ACCAGACCACGTCCGAGCGAGACTACATAGTCTGTCATGAATGTGCAAAAGGGTGAGACCGCCCCAGCCACTCGACAGTATTGGGGACTCTGTATCACTCAATCGCATTCACTTCAGAGCTCTTCAGAGTCCCCTTGGCTCTGACTTAACACAAGTCCCTCGCTTCAGAGGGCCCTGGTACAGGGCTGGCGCAAAGCGCCCTCGCGCGAAGCGCGACCTCCGAAATGGGAGATGCTTCGCATCGGGGTGCTCTGCACCCCCAGTCCTGGGAGGCTTAGTTAAGTCAGCCTTGGCTCACAAATGACCAGTAAGACCATCTCCACCGCAAGCTGCTATCCGAGCTGCCAAATCTCGAAGTTCGGCAACTGCGGCGCATTTTTAGCAGCCCACACAGAGGCCGTTTTACACCGCAAGCTGCCAAATATGGCAACTCTGCCTTGTGAAACGTCCTCCCCGCCGTCCCCCTATTCTCCACCCGTTTTGCATCACTTCTGAACCTCTTCCATTGGACAACTCCCAAAAACGATGGACTCAACGCTTCCGACGGACACGGACCCAATGACCGAAGAAGTCCTGGCCAAAAAAATTATCCGAAGGCAGCAATTAACGGCAAGCTCAAACACTAGAAGATTTTTACTCCTTGAAGCGGCTGCATTAATTCTGGACGACAACAACGGCATCGACGATCTCATTCCTTCCCATGGCGGATCCAAACCAGGCAAGAAACCAAACAAACCACGCAACTTTGAAGCCAGCTATCAAAGGCTCCTTGAGCACTACTTTTCGGACTCGCCACTCTACGACGCAACACTATTCAGACGCCGCTTTCGGATGTCCAAACCGATTTTCTTGAAGATAACGGAAGAAGTCAAGAATTACGACAGTTACTTTACTCAGAAACCGGATGCCTTAGGAAAAATGGGTCTACATCCCCTAGTTAAGGTCACAGCGGCCCTGCGCATGCTTGCATATGGGGCTGCTGGTGATTGCAACGATGAATACTTGCAACTTTCGGAAACAACATCGCTCCAATGTATGGACCGATTTTGTAATGCCATCGTGGACATCTATGGTTCTCAATATCTCCGTGCGCCAACTGCCGAGGACTTGGAACAACTGCTTACGATTGGAGCTTGACGGGGCTTCCCAGGAATGCTTGGTTCTGTAGATTGCATGCACTGGGAGTGGAAAAACTGCCCATCGGCTTGGGCTGGACAGTATCAAGGGAAGGAAAAGGTAATTTTTTTTCTTTATTGCCACAAGTTCGCACTGACTGATTATTCAATTATTTTGCTTTCTCTTCTTAGACCCCAACAGTTATCCTCGAGGCAGTGGCATCCCAAGATCTTTGGATCTGGCATGCTTACTTTGGGCTGCCAGGGTCCCATAATGACATCAATGTCCTAGACCGATCACCGCTCTTCAAGAATCTCTTGAATGGGCAAGCTCCGGAATGCGAATATACGATAAACGGGCACGTCTACAAACAAGGTTACTACCTCGCCGATGGGATTTACCCGGATTGGGCTGTATTCGTGAAGACTCTATCGGAGCCTCGAGGACTAGAGCAGAAGCACTTCGTCAAAATGCAAGAGGCTCGCCGGAAAGATGTCGAGCGGGCTTTCGGCGTTCTTCAAGCTCGATTCGCAGTTGTAGCTCGACCGGCACGGGGCTGGAAGCATTGGAACCTCTCGAACATCATGAAAGCATGCATCATCCTCCACAATATGATTGTGGAGGACGAGCGAGACTCATACCTGGAATACGTTTACGATCAAAACCCAGCTGCCGTTATAACTCCGATTGACGTAGTCCGAGACCGCCCCATCTCTTTTGCTGATTTCCTCGATAACTATCAAGCAATGAAAGATGTTGAAACTCACCTTCAGTTGCGACACGATCTCATTAAACACCAGTGGGAAGTGAAAGGTAGACAGGAATAAGTACACTTTTAACTTAACTTGTTATAGAAATACACACGGCCTGATTCCTTTTCTCTTCTGTGTTCAATGAGACACAAAAGTTCATTTGCTTGTTATAGAAATACAAACGACCCAATGCCTTGTCTTTAAACCACCCGATGCCTTGTCTTAAAACGACCCGATGCCTTTCTTTTCTGTGTTCAATGAATCACAAAGGTCCATCTTCTCTTTTTCCTTTTTAAGTTGTCAATGAAATGTGAGCAAGAAACATTCAATACTCATTGAAATTGAATTTGCTTGGGAATCAAAATTTCATTTTCTCTTGTTAAGTCAGAGTTACAAAACAAAAAACATGTGAAAAGAAATTCTCAATTGATTGCAAGATGAAGATGAAGATAACAAGCATGACCAATCCAGTTTTTTTCTTCTTTGAGTTTGAGTTGGAAATGAAAAAAGCGAGAATAGAAAGATGGAATCGGTGTGATCCGCAGTTGTTTTCTTCTTGGAGTGTGAGTTGGAAATGAAAAAAAAGCGATAATAGAAACATGGAATCGGCAAAATCAATGTGGATTGATCGAAAGAAACTAAGTGGAGGAGTTGCGTCGAAGATCACTTAATATTTGTTTTTTTTTAATCTAAAATATTCTTTTGAATCATCATCGAGGTTGGATAAATCCTTGTCCATAATTGATACCTGAGCGTTGTATTCTCCGGTCTGAGCCATCCGGTCTAAGGTCTTTGCTTCCAAATCGAAAATATCATTCTGTCGTTTTGTCTCGTTTGCGACCGACTCATGAGCGCGCGCGATCATCTCCTTCCAAGCCTCTTCCTTACTTGCGAGTTGATGAAGAAACTTTGCCTTCTTGTTGCCAATTGGACGTGGAAGCGAGGAAGTGTCCGTTGAGTTGTCTTCAGCATCCGTAACATCATCGGGATTCAAAACCAATGAGGCGGGGGCATCGCTACTCGGGCTTCTAGCTCGCTTCTTTTGAGTCGATGATCGGGTTTTTTTGCTGTTTTCGTCTGTGTAGGTGCTCCGTTTTGGGACTTTAACGAGAATGTTGAAACATCGAAGGTGTTTGAATGAGGAGCCCTGGTCTTTGGAGAAGAGTTCAAGAGCCCGGTTAAGGCAATCTTCGGCTGAAGCACCACTCTCTTCGTGTTGTTCGACCTGGTTAACGAAGCCTCGGAACTTGCTGATGACCTTCTGCAATGCTCCCCAATGAGCTTTCAAACTGCCAGGGGTTCGACGCGCTTCCGGAAGTTCTTTTGAGAAAGAGAGGTGGACCCGTTTCCAAAACGTCGCGCCATCTTGATTAGTACCAATCAGAGGATCCTCGGATATAACGATCCAGGAACGACAAAGCTGGACATCCTCGGCTTCCGTATAGCTGGACGACCTCTTGGTTCCCAGCTCGTCTCCTCGTTGGCTTTCAGTGACCTCGCTGGTTTGTTGGCTTGGTTCGATATGGGCTTGCTCGCTTCCGGTGACTTGAAGGAGTGGGTCGAGAGGAACTGCTGGGGCCATCTTGATGTTTGCGGTTGGAGGGAGGGTGTTGTGTTGGATGGGTGGTTGGTGTTGTGTTGGATGGTGGAGATATATGTAGGTGGTGGGTGTTTGTGGATATCGGGGGATATAGGGAGGGGATGGATGGGGGAATCACATAAAAAAATTGTGATACCCTTGAGGTTGGGTTGCTATCGGGTTGCTATCCTGATGCCAAATTTGGTATCAGGATAGCAGCCGAGAGGCGGGTTGCTAAAAGTTTTGGGTGTTTAGCAGCCGCGGTGGAGCTGCTAAAACGTGTTTGCGCTGCTAAATCTGGTTTAGCAGCCGCGGTGGAGATGGTCTAAACAAGCCCCCGCGCTTCCCAATCCGACGCCGGTTTGCAAAAGCGTTGCCCAAACGGGACACGGTCGTGCCCGCCGGCATGCACCACGTTCATCACCAGAGCTCACTTCAAATGCGTCCTGGACACGGGCACCCCTTGGGGAAAGCAGGAATGGGGGGACCCGCAGACGCTTGCAGTTTTAACCTGCAGCACTGTAATATTTGCTATGCCATCAAATTTGGATATAGTCCGTTCGGACTGGATTTCATTAAATTGATAGCCCAAAGAGATGTTACTTTGGGGGAACTCGAGCAATGAGTTATAAAATAAAAAATCGTGCACCTTATATTGTTTCATGTTGTGAGCCTATCTTGCCAACGTTTTGGGGTGTCGCATTGCCACAGTTGAAAGCAGTTGGAAGTCCATTGATGCTAGTCAATAAAACAAGTGTTGATCTGAGAAATTTTACAGTCACAGTGGGAAGAAGGGGGGGGGGACAGACAAAGGGTAGGGGTGGATAGCTTTGTGGTAAATAGATAGAGAAAGATCACAAAAATGGCTGGAATATCTTTATAAGTAAATATGTGTCAATAGGCCATGTTCAATATTTTCACTGCAAAATCTTTCTTCTGGGACCCTACCAGTTAGTCAGAAATCTTTGTGCACACAGCAGCGCCCTGAATACTTAAGTTCCAGAGGTGCTTCCTTGAAGTTGTGGGGGGTGCTCACATACAATTGTAGAGAGGACCCAGCAAAGGTTTCGTCCCTAATCTACGGTCAAGTTGAGTCAACGTGACGCCGCACACAGGCTAGGCTCTGCCCAGCAAATTGCCACTGCTGAGGTGCCAGCGAGACCTCTGAGGTGGGAAATCTCCAGCTGCTAGCAACGGTGGGCCGCTACGCTACACTACGCTAAATGGCCCACTAACGTTAGCGTAGCGGCCCTCGGAACAGCGCGCCAAACCTGTAGTGTTAGCGCGCTGTTAGTGCCACTACGCTACGCTACGCTGCGCTACAGCGCTTTTAGCGGCAAAAACGGCCAAAAAACTGCTAAAATGTGCTGTAGCGCAGCGTAGTGGGCCCTTTTTTGCGGCCCACACGCGTAGCGTTAGCGCAGATACAGAAATCTGCGCTAACACTACGCTACAATGTAGCGTATTTGCGCTACACTACGCTAGGCTAACACTACCGTTAGCGTAGCTGGCCCAGCGTTGCTGCTAGCTGAACAGAAGTCCATCCATCCGGCGGACCTGGGATTGCCAGGCCGGCGCAAAGCGATCCTCCCGAGGAGAATGCCTTTGAGACGCCCCCCCCCCCCTGTACTGTAGGGAACTCTTCAGGGCCCTCTCCAGAGAGATTCTATTGAACGGAAGGCGTCGAACCAGAGTGGTTGAGGTGACAAAGTCAAAGGGTGCCTTGATCTTCCAGAGCGGGACCTTGGTACCAGACAAGAGGCGCTTTGTCCTACCTTGCCTTGTGACAACCGTGTGCTGGCCACCGGTGGTGCTGGTGAATTAAGCATTGAAGGCGGGCCTCGTTATGTATGTGAATATGGGGAACCCTTGCCGGATGTGTGGTTGGTGAAGTTGCGCTCTACGGAATACAGCACCGTATTAGTCTTCCCAGATCAAGACCACCAGTACAGCGACCCGGCAGTCTTGTGTGCACAACCCATTTGGGCGCACTAGTCAGCGGGGTCTCACTAATGCGACACAGTTATATGTATCACATCAAATGAAACACCTCCATGAAGGCGCCATTTGGGTGGCCTGGCGTGTAACGGGGCCCTTACAGAGTTCTATGGGTTTAGACTTCAAGGTTAAGTGTTTGTACACTTTTTAGATTCGTAGATAGTTTTAACGAAGTTGTTGTATAAAAGTTGTGTATCGTATTCGATGAGGAACAAACCCTCATGAGAGAGCTGCTTATAAATCTATGTACAAGCGACCCGTGCGTACATAGATGAGCAGCAGAATCAATGATACAATCCAAAACAGAAATGACGTCATAGAAAGTACCAGAAAAGGTGTACTACTATGGATTAAATGTAAATACATGATTTGACACAGAGAAATAGAGGGAGATGGTGAAAGTCGAAGAAGATTGTAGTCGTAAGGCCTAGTAACTCCGAATGCGGTACTAGCGCACGGCTACAACTACCCCCCCCCTCTAGAAACAGACCGGCCTCGGTACGTGGAGCCGAGAAAATCACGGGACGACCGGAACCGGCAATTGAGAAACAGATTTCGCCGCTTTCGCCAAGTCCCGCGAAACCTTCACCTCCCGGCGATTGTCATCCAATTGAATTGCCGGAGGAACCAACCACATCTTGTTAGTGATAACGGAACGAAGGGATACCGGCCGGAGATGATTTCCGTTAACC